AAGTGCTTGTTGAGAGCATCCTCCTGAAAGCACTGTGGTCTTGAGGAAAGTATACAACTCTTACTCTCAGACCATCCACTCAAACTCCAGTTCTGCCACTTACTAAAATTTTATGACCTATGGAAAGGCCCTTAACCTAACTATGCCTCAGTTTCCATACTACAAACAGGGATAAGATAAGAATCCTCCCATAGGGATGTCAGAAAGATAAAACTCAATAACTGTGAGTCCGCTTGAGGAAAATGGTCAACTGAGTGTCTCTGCAAAGTAGAGATGCAAAAGATCACAGCTGATATCAATTCACAAATCCACAGAGGTGAATTGTGCCTCCCAGGGAACAACATGGGAACAGGTGGCAAATCCCAGTGCTCTCCCCTGTCCAGATGCTCTGTCTCTTCTCTGAAGCCCTCCCACGCCCCCTGGAAGGAGCCCGAGGCAGGACAAGCACCTTACCTCGTGAGCAGCTCACACAGGCTGTGCAGCGGTTGGCCTCATTCAGGTAGTAGTCACGGTTACACTGCTTCCTGCAGTCAGCGTACCCCTCTGGACATGGCTGCAGTGGGGACAGCCCTAGAAAAAGAAGCAGAAAATCTTCAGGCCAGGCCCGCTTTGGCTACCGCTGCTCATCCCTAAAATCCAGACACCCCACAGCTCCACAGCCAACACAATCAGTCTTGTGTTGCAGATGGAGGCACTGATGCCCAGAAAGAGCAGACCTTGTCCAAGATCACCTGGCAGGCAGGACATGTAACACAGGTTGAGGTGAAGCCTGGAACTCCAGAGCTGCCACCGTACCTGTGTGGCCTTGGACAAATTACAGCATCCTCACTCATGCTATTATGAAAATAACGGGACCCACCTTCTAGGGTGGTTGTGAGGATTAAAAGGCATTAACACATGTAAAGGGCTCATAGGAGACCCAGGCACACAGCAAACACTGTGTAAGCATCGATTGTTGTTATTCCTGACAGGGTCCTATTTTCACTGCAAAAATTGGGGAGCCATAAATCCCTTGACCATGCAGCGCTTAATCCAGCCTGGCTGTGAGTTGGGCAAATCACCCAGCCCTCAAGCCCTAACAGCCCAAACAGAGGAGACTCTGGGTGATTTCACTTTGGGAAAATGGGGACAGGGTCTCCCTTTGCACAGCGATGGAAACCACATGATATTGACACTGAATGAACAGGAAAAAAGGGTGAGGTGGGATGGGGGATGTCTGCGGGCCTTTCTGCCTGCCCTGCCCCCCTCTCTGTCTAGTGAGGTTCTAGTTTGATCCAGTCCAGGATGAGCACATGACTTAGGCAGGCCAAACAGAATACTTCATTCCTCCAACCAATAGAATTGGTTCAGGCTAGGCACATGATTCAAGCAGACCAATCAGAGTACTCCATCTTCCTCATGACTGTGATTGGCTCAGCAGAAGCACATGACCTATGTCAGCCAATGAGTCCCACCCCTGGCAGTTTCACAAGAGTTAAAGGGAAAGAGGAGTCCCTGGAAGGTACAAATGATTAACAGCCTAGATTGCTAACCAAAGGATTGGAGGTTGGAGGTTCAAGTGCATTTAGAGATGCCTCAGAAGAAAGCCCTGGTGATCTACTTCAAGAAAGGAACCATTGAAAACCCTAAGGAGTACAGTTCTGCTCTGAAACACTTAGGGTCACCATGATTCAAAATTGACTCAAAGGCAACTTGTTTCGATGTAAATAACTGAACCCTTTCAGGTTCACCAACCAACTAGCCGGTTGCCATGTTTCAGAGTACAACTGTGCTCCATAGCGTTTTCAAGGTTGTGACCGTTCAGAAGCAGATTTCCAGGCCTTTCTTCTGAAGCACTTCTGGTTGTGGTCAAACCATCAACCATTCAATTAGTAGCCAAGTGCTTAACCATTTGCACCACCACCCAGGGACCCTTTAGGTTCACAGACCTCCAGATGTCTACCCATGTGTGATAGTTCAGGTTGTGTGTCAACTTGGCTAGGCCATGGTTTTGAGTGGCTTGGCAGCTGGATATAGTTATTCCCCATGATGAGATTGTAATCACCGTCATGGTGGAATCTGCTGTCAGACCATAACCAGTGTAAGAGAGTTGACTGAGGTGTGACCTGCTTCCAGTATATATGGTGAAGCTTTGAGACAGGACTCAAACATTTTGGTACATTTTGGATCCTGTATTTGACCAAGTCTTCATCTCTAGTTCCTTGATTTGAACCAGCAGCCTAACATGTTGCCTGCTGATCTTGGGATTGTGGCATTGTACTTGCCAATCTTGGGTTTATCAGCCTCAGCAGCCAGCAGCTGCATGAGTCAGAAGAAGCCTCCAGCTCCAGTGGGCCTGGAAGGAGAGGCAGAGCTGAAGCCCAGTGGGGTCAAGAGGCCTCCACTAGCCCCTAGAGCCAGCCTTCTGAATTGGATTTCTAGCCTCCTGAACTGTAAGAGAATAAATTCTGTTTGTTGAAGCCATCCAGTTGTGGTATTTCTGTTATAGCAGTGCTAGAGAACCAAGACATCATGGAAACTTGGGAGACCATGGATTCCAGAATAAGAGTCCCTGCTCAAAAATACTAGCTTGATAGCTGTTGCTCTTTAGCTCAGAAAACTTCAGTAGCTTCCTAGGAGTCTTTCCACCCCTTGCCTAAAACTTTCAAAACTCTCCCATGGTTCTCAGGACAGAGGGCCAAGGTCCTTACCATGGTGAATGCAGCTTTGCCCACTTCTATCCACCTTGCTCTCTAATCTCTTCTCCTTTCTTCCCTAGAGCCTTTATGCAAGCTGTGTCCAGAATGCTGCTCTCCCTTTACCCCTAGTAAACTCCCATTCAACCTTCACATTACGGTCAAAGCATCATTCCTGGAAATACGGAAGGGTTCCTATTATCAACTCTCAGAGATCTATCAGTTGCAATGTCACATTTATTTGTGGGATGATTTTCTTAATGTCTGGATTCCCCATGTCAGCTCCTCGAGGAGGATGGATCATCCCATTTTTGCTCACCACTGATTCCCCATCACAGTCCCTAGGACTTATTTGATCAAACATGACTGGCCAACCCAATCAATACAAGTCCTCAGTCTGGCATCCCCAAGCCCTCACTCTGTCTCCAGACTACTGGTCTGGCATTATTATACATGGCTCATTTCATACACTCTATACCTCAGCCAAACTGGGTGTCACTGTTTCCCCTAACATCCTTCATATGTCGTGGAGTGTTTTTTTTTTTCCAGGCTAAGATACCCCTCTATCTCTGTTTCTACTTACTGGGAACCTGTCTGAGGCTGGGTTCTCTAGAGGAGAAATACCAGTGAAGGAAAGAGAGAAAGATTTATTTCAAGGAACTGGTTCACAGTAGCCTAGTAATAAACCAAAGGCTGTTTCTCAAAAGGAGAGTAGTTATATACAGAAGATGGCAGAGCTTTGCTCCAAAATCTTAAGAGACTGGCCTGTGATTCACCAATAATGGCCTGCTAAAGACTCCAAACAGCATCTCTATCTGCCATGACAAGAACCAGCTGGATCATATGGCCCAAGAAGTGACAGAGCAGCTTGCATATGAGTTGGGTGTGTTACTCTGGCATATTTATCAAGAGACTTGAAAAGGTGCTAGTTTTGAGTGTGGCCTAGAACAAGAGAAGGCCCTGCAACAGGTTCAGGCTGCCATGAAAGCCACTCTGCCACTTGGACCATATGATCTGACTGAGCCATTGGTTTCTGAAGTGGCAGTGGCAGATAGAGATGCTATTTGGAGTTTTTGGAAGAATCAACTCAACCATAGTGGGGTTTGGGGAATAGTACATCCAAATGAGAGATATGTTGCCTCCAAAATCCAAAGAGACCCACCAAGTGTTGTGCTTCCTTTTTACTTATAAGAAGGGCCAGGCGTAACAACTTATCCTTCACTTTAGAAGGAATATTTCTACATGTCCCATACCACTCTAAAAACTCACTGCCATTGAGTCGATTCAACTCACAGCAACCCTTCCTTGGGTTTCCGAGGCAGTATCTCTAGGGAAGCAGATGGCCCGATATTCCTTCCAAGGAGCCAGGCTTCTGGTTAGCAGTCAAATGCCTTAGGCACTATGCCACCAGAGCTCCCCCATACCACTGGACCTCTAAAAATTTCACTGAGGTGGAAAGCACCTGAATTTTTGTCGGATTAATTTCCCACCCTCTAGGACACAAATGTCTTACTATGTCTAGAGTCATTGATATTTCTTCCTTACTAGGCCCAATCAGCATAATGTCATCAATGTAATAGACCAGTGTGATGTCTTATGGAAAGGAAAGATATCAAGAGCCCTGTGGAGTAAATTATGGCATAGGACTGGAAAGTTGATATACATCTGAGGTAGGACAATGTAGGTATATTGCTGGCCTTCCCAGCTGTGGTAGTTAAGGTTATGTGTCAACTTGGCTAGGCCTGGTTTTGAGTGGCTAGGCAGCTGGATGTAGTTATTCCCCGTGATGAGACTGGTAATCAACTCCATGGTGGAATCTACTGTGAGCAGCTGAGTAGCTGCCTTGGGGATGTGGCCTGCTTCCAGTATATAAGAAGACACTTTGAGAAAGGTCTCTGAGCTTCTTGGTACATTTAGATCCTGCATTTGGCCAAGTCATCAGTGAGTGGCCTGCCATGTTGTCTGCCAATCTTGGGACTGTTTCTGGACTTGAACTAGTGGCCTGCCATGTTGTTTGATAATCTTTGGACTGTGCCATTTTACTTATTGACCTTGGGTTTGTCAGCCTCAGCAGCCAGCAGCTGCCTGAGTTAAGAGACACCTCCAGCTCCAGTGGGCCAGTAGCAAGAGGCTGAGCTGAAGCTCAAGGTCGAGGGGCCTTCACCCAGCCCCTAGAGCTGGCACTTTGAACTCAGGCTTCTAGTCTCCTAAACTGTAAGGAAATAAATCCCTGTTTGTTAAAGCCATCCACTTGTGGTATTTCTGTTAGAGCAGCACTAGATGACCAAAAACTAGCTGAAGGCACACTGCTTCTGGTGTTCTTTTGAAAACAGGATCAAGAAAAAGGCATTAGATGAGACACCAGAGGGACAGCATTCACATAGATGGAAAGCTGGACAGGCAGAAGTGCATAGATAAGAAGGGCACAGGGAGGGCGTAGTCACAGCAAGGATAGGGGAGGAGAGTTTTGTTATGGTTGGGGATGGTAATTGGTACGTGAAATCAAATGTGCATGAACTGTTGAATGTAAAACTAATTTGCTTTGTAAATTTGCACCCAAAGCACAATAAAAATAAATAAAATATAGTATAAGAAGTGGATGAAGCCCTGAGAAACACCAATATTTAGAGGCTGGGCAGAGGAGGAGGAGAATGAGAAGGAGCAATGAGAGAAAAAAAGAAAAAGGCATTAGCCAGATCAATAGCTGCATACCAGGTACTAGGAGATGTATTAGTTTGCTCAAGCAATGAAATCACATCAGGAACAGCAGCTGCAATTGAAGTCACCACCTGGTTAAGTTTACAGTAATTCAAATTCATTGTCATTCTCCAAGATCCATCTTTTTTTTTTTTTTTTTTTTGCACAGGCCAAATAGGTAAGTTGAATGGAGATACA